AGTCCCCGTGTGTCAGCCTGGTGTGGTGGGTAGTGCTCTCGCCTCTTGAGTCAGAAAGTTGTGGGTTCAAGCCCCACGTCAGGACTTGGAATCACATCGTCTAAGCTGACACTCCAATGCAGTGCTGGGGGACGTTAGATGTGCTGTCCTTTGGATGAGCTGTTAATCCGAGTTCGTATGTGTGTTCAGGTGGATGTTTAAGATCCCACGGCTATTAGAAAAGAGAAGGGAGTTCTCTCTCCTGGTGGCCTGGCCACCAATCCCCAAAATAAAATTGGTGATTTGCGCCATGGCTGGGACACTGCTGTTGGTAACTGGCTGCTGTGTTTTGCCCACAAAATAGACACTTTACAGTATTGTGAGATTTGTCGACGATGTAATAAGGCGCTGTATCAAATGCAAGGATTATAATAACCTGAGGTTGTTTTGAGTTGTTTCAACAGTTATAGGCTCTGTATCAAAATCCTCAATTTACCTGGAGGATTGTAGAAGAGCAACTCGATGCTGTGATGGGGGGATGGGAGGGCGGGTGTTCTGGAGAGATGAGATCAGATGGGTCGAATGGTCTTCTTCATCCGAACCGATCTAGCGATCTTGTGACACTCGGAGAAACTCCCTTGTTTTAAAGGGTGTGAAGTTTGTGGAGTTTCATAATTGCCACTTCGAACACTTTCACCATAATTTACAGCTTGGCAAGTGGCAAAAAAATCTCTCCGAGGAGAGTAGCAGCCTTGTCGGTTTCCATGGCTGCCATTGTTTAGACAGGGCGAGGGAAGAGCTGCCAGGTGTGTGATTCCCAGTCGCTGTGTGCAATCGGGGCTTAGGAACATAGGAAATGCTGGACGGAAAAAAAAACAAGGTCCATCCAGTTCGCTTTCCACCATCCTCACAGTCGCATGCACGTGTCATGTCTTGAGATACTCATTCATGCGGTGTTCATGGATGGACAGTGGGGGCAGATCTACAGGTGAGGTTCTGCTGAAGGTTTCCAAACCGAAACACAAGTTGACGCAGAGCCGTCAAAGATCAGTGACTCATTCTCACTGGTATTCTCTTCTTTTATCAAAAGCAATGAATTCCTCTTGAATAATCTGAGTTGAGATTTACCTTGGGCGTTTAAACATCGTGTAGATTAAACCAATCTTGGCTCCCTCTCTCTTGTCCCACCAAAATCACGTCTTCATTTCATTTCATTTCATTTCCCGCATTGTGCGTTTCGCTCACAAATAAACGGTCAATTCACTTTACAGCATATTCTGTGAAGCACTTTGAGACATCTAGAAGACGTGAAAAGCGCTATATCAAATGCAAGGATTATTATTATTATTTAATTGAAGCTCAAAAGCCCTCCGGGAAACAAATTTAACCTCTTCAGTGTGGCTGTGTCATTATTTCTGGTACTGATTGATAAACGTGCTAGCCAAGAAGTCTCCAGTCATCCGGGTATTTTGTTAATCTGTGATTCCTCCCTCGTGATGCTGCGATAGGAGGACGTCCAGAGTGGGAATTCTGGAAGGATGAGATCAAAATGGGCTAGAAGAGCCTTCTTCCTCTTTTGTCCTCTTCCTCAAAAAAATAAGCTTTACTCAATTTTTGTTCCACATTTCCCCATATTTTTCTTTCAACCGCTCTCACAAATAACCCCTGTGTTTGGTATAGCGACTTATCACGTTGTCAAGACGTCACAATGCGAGAAACAAGCCACTTGTGGTTTGCTGAGACACGGCATTTCTGAAGGAAGAGATTTTATACCCACATCCCGGTGTTAATTGTTCCTCCAAACTTAGCACAGCCTCCTTTTACCTCACGGGGAGAGAGAGAAAAAAGTAGGCGCTCGTAAAGTTGAACACTAACCTTTGAGTGTTATTGTGTTTTATGGGGTTATTGAAGTGTGAAGAATTCTATACTCTGTAGGGCTTTAGTAAACAAATTCCTCATTGCTCTAGTGAGGTCAAAAAAATGTTCCAATGATTTGATCATAATCTGTAATGTAACCGGATTTTTATTCAGTAATTGTAAATTCCTGCTCCTTTTTCTCTTCTTTTCTTGCCGCTAATCGCCTCCCGCCTTCGCCCCTCCTTCCCTTCCCCAACCTCCCTGGCTGTGTCCGCGGGGCGTAACGTGCGACAGTTTCCCAAGGGATCCAGTGGCGAGCAATCCGAGTTGGGGATTTGGTTATTGGGCTGTGAGACTTGCAAAGCGTTCCATAAAATGGTGGTTGTTTTCCTCGCTGGTCCTTTTAATCCGACATTTAGCCAATTTGCTGATTTACGAGTCTTGGCATGAACCCTACAGAGCTGAGGACAGGAACAAGCCGGAACTCTGCATTATCAGGAACGCACCATACACCGAGCAACCACAGTAGAACCTCGTTATAATCTGCGTGTAGCATTCGATCAGCGCTGCTGACGCTATTTCCTGTAAAATGGCCGCTTCACCATCGCCGTCATTTCCTGCGTACGGGGAGCAGGAAGCTCTGAAAGAAAATGGCTGCCCCTGAGGTCGCCTCCTGTCATGGCGAAGCGTGCAGGAAAGCCGGCAACTATGCTACACCCGTGCTATACGCTGACCCGACCTTGTCGCAAAGTGTGTTCTAACAGCGTGCAACCGTACCACGAAGAGGCCGCGTGTAACATGCACGTGCTTCCTTCCATCTGACAGTTTTACAAGGGACAAAGTGGTGAAATAAAACCTCTTTTACTAGGGCTCAGGCCATTGTTTGGCAGCGGGCAGCGGAGCCAGTTAAATGGTTTACTCGACTGTCAGATCAGTTACTGTGACCACGCAAAACCAGAAAATCGTTGTTCTCCACAAATCAAAGACTTGTATTTTCAGCTCCGTATGATTTTCTTTTCACCCCCGTGTTACCGTCTCTCCTCTTGTTTGGGGTTTTTCTGGTTGTCCGGCGATAGTGAAAGGTCAGGGACACTGAGCGACTGCACAACCCTCCCTTCCCCTCCCCTCCCCGCTCCCCGCTCCCTCACAATCCCGAAAATCTCTACTCCATTGTTAATATCTCCACTGCTCAAATATTGCAAAGTGTATAAAATCATAGAATCATATAAAATCAGTGTATAAAATCATAGAAGAATCACGTGGAAGGAGGCCATTCGGCCCATTTGAGTCTGGACCGGTTCTCAGAGCAAGCCGTCCATTCAATCCCACAGTGCCCTGCCCTATCCCCATACCCCTTCAAGCCCCTAACTTACAGCCTGTCCACTTCCCTCTTGAAACCCACGAAGTAGTCTGCGTTATAGCTTTGAACCAAAAAGAGTGACTGAAAAGTTGCGTGTATGACCAATCCCCCAAGTTGCTGGGGGAACAGTTGCTGAGACGTTTGAGTAAAATCAGTGACTCGCTCAGTGGCTGTTTGTGGGGAACGTTGCTGTGCGCAAATTGTCCGCCACGTTTTATGCACACAGACACAGTATGTCCCATGATCGCTTCAAGACATCTCGACAACATGATAAGGAATTATATCAAATGCAAGGATTATTGTTATAGCCGAGTGCAGCTTTTACAGTATCTGGAGATTGACGACTGTGAAATGCATTGACAACAGAGGCCACCGAAACGTTGTGTGGTGCCATCACCCCCGGGGTTGTGTGCTGTTTACCCAGCAGATGACTGAACTGCTTGTGTTGGCAAATTGCCATCTGTTATCAGTGCTTTGTTTTTCGCCAACACTGAAAGGTTTCTTTCAAACGGCTGTGATCCAATGATAGAACACAGTTCAGTGCAATTTACATTTAGACATTTAGACAGCGCCCTTCATGTCGGGAGGACATCTCAAAGTGCTTCATAGTGCAGGCTCCGCAACTAAGCTTGGGGCGGGGGGGGGGGGGGGCGGGGGCGAGGAATGTGTCAAAAGAGATATGGCCTTGAACGAGCAAGGGGGGAGGAAGTCAGAGGGACTCAGGTTGGAGTTTGCGGGGGGTGGGGGAAGGGGGGCAGAGGTAGACTGGCTGAAAGCCCACTTGCTGACGGTGGGTTTGCTTTACATTGTGCAATCCAGCTTTACACGATTGATGATAACTACAGGCCAGGGACTACATACACTTTCCTTTGATCGGATCTCAGTAGCAATCTATCAGAACGTTCCACCAGTTGCTTACGTTGCCTCTTGGACGAGATGAGACATTAAACCGAGGTCTGAAGACGTTAGACCCATGTGGATGTTAAAGATCCCTTGACACTGCTTGAAAAAGGAAGGTGATTTCTCCCTGTGTCCTGATCAGCAATCCTCCAAATGAATTGGCCGCTCACTTCTTGGCTGCTTGTGGGATTGCTTTGCTGGCACAAACAACTTCCATGTTTGGCTAGAGAAACAGTCACTACACATAAGAGCAAAATTAGTTGTGAAGCGCTTGGAGACCTTTCAACCATGCAGTAAAGTGCTATTTAAAATTCTAGTTCTTTCCTTCTTTGGATCAGGAAGGTACATGGATTTGGTACTGTTGCACCTCTGAGGGTTGGCAGGCTGAAATGTACTTGGCTTCAACACCCGGGCACTTAGCCCATACGATACAGTTAAAAGTTTGGCATGTGTCACGGTTTGCCCGTTCTTATCTCTTCTACTTTCGTGCCCAACGCAGTTGGTCCTCCTAAAAAAAAAGCAAGGCAGGGCATTGACTGACATAATCAAACATTACCAGTCCCCTTTCGCCTTTGTGTGTGTGTGTGTGTTTCTTTCTGTTTGCTCTCAGCTAAGGCTGTGTATAATATCAGAGGCTGAGAGGTTGGACCTCAGGGTGCTTGCTTTCTCTCAATTTAATACTACTACTAATAATAATCCTTGCATTTGATACGGCGCCTCATCACGTCTTCAAGACGTCCCAATAGGACATACTGTAAATTGAATTGACTGTATATTTTGTGGATGAAACGCGGCAGCCAATTGCGCACAGCAGTGCTCCCACAAAACAGCCGCGGAGATTGAGTGACCGATTTATTATTCTTATTAATATTTTTTTATTACTAATAATTCGTCTCGTTAACAGGCGTTCGGTACGGTCAACAGGGTACCAGCGAAGTCTCCTCCTCCACGGCGATCAGTCACCACAACAGCGCCATGGTAACCAGCCAAACAGTCCTACAGCAAGTCTCGCCAGTCAACCTGGATCCAAGCCACGGTCTGTTGTCACCTGATGGCAAGATGGTGAGGACACCTGCGCCATTGTAACTGTCGTGCTGATAAGATAAGAGTCTGAGAAGTCAAAAATATATATATATAAAAATAAATACATAATGGAGGACAAAACAATAGGAGCCATTGTGGCAAAGGAGGCCTGGAACGCAGACTGAGTTAGCACTGAAAGGTTGAGTTGTACACTTTCATCTTGCTTTAAAGGTACATATTCTTCCCTTCTCTTCACTCCACCCCCCCACCCACCCTTTTCCTTCCCCTCCCGTTTTCCTTCCCATTCCCCTCCCTTTCCTTTCCCCCAACCCACCCCACTCACCGCTCCAACACACACACACACACATACACACATAGCCAATAAAAGTGACAAAGAAACATGTTGAATTTATTGATTGAATACCTGCTAGAGTTGGATTCTGGGCGGGACGCTGTTTATCCTTTACCACTGGCAATGTTCGCCTTGATAACGAGCTCATTTATTTCATTTTTTTTTTAACGCTTTTGTTTGGTTCACACGGGTCTGTCTGTCTGTCTGTCTGTCATGGTTTGACCCTTTGGGTGCTGCGTGTAACAGCTCTGGGACGCTATCCTGCACGAGGGGCGCAATGTAAATGCAAGTTGTTCTTGTTGTTGTAACGCTTCCTTCTCTCTCATTCTCGCTCTCTCTCTGCACGTTCAGATCACGGCCCCAGGTGGGTCTCTGCCTCCCGTCAGCACCCTGACAAACATCCACAGCCTGTCTCAGCCGCCGCACCACAATCACCAGCAAACGCAGAATCTCATCATCAATCCCCTCTCCGGGGTCATGGCGATAGCACAAAGTAAGTCCTTTTTTTCTCGTACAGAGACAGTACTACTGACAATAATATTCCTTGCCTTTGATATAGCGCCTTATCACGTCTTCGAGACGCCTCAAAGAATATACTGTAAAATGAATTGACTGTACGTTGAGTGGGCAAAACCCACAAAACAAGGACTTAGGACAAGAGGACTGCGAGCTTAGAGATGTAAAGGGCAATTTCAGGCCAGACACCGGGAGGTTTAAGCAATGACTACAACAAGTCGCCAGGAAGGGTCGTTGAGGCCAGTACAATGGAATTCATTTACAAAGCAGCTTGATGCAGTGATGGGAGGATGGTTGGGTGGGTGTTCTGGAAGGATGAGATCAGATGGGCTGAAGGGCCTTCTTCATCTGAACCCATCTTGTGATCCGGTCTTGGTAAAGCTCTTCGACTTGTTATTCCTGCGTGAAAGATGCTATACAAGTGCAAGTTGGTGGTGTAATGCTCCGAACTTTCCTCTCCTGCAAGTCTGCCCTGCAAAATGCACAGTCGCTGCACCTTGCAGTGAATCCTGCAAAGTGCTTTGACACGTCCAACCAGATGTGAAAGGCACTGTATCAAACGCAAGGATGATTATTATTAATAATAATAATAATAATAAGTCGTTTCTCCACGAAAGGAACAAAATAATTTCAGTCATTGCATGTAAATTTTAACTGGCAATTTAACATTTCAGCCTGAGGCTTTTGTACAAGATATTGATTCCTTCTTCCTCTCCCCCCCCCACCACCCCACATCTCTCCTCCGCACCCTCCCTCCCCGTCCGCCCTGTTTTATGGTTTCAGGTATAAGCACATCTCAGGGCCAGAGCGTCCCTGTTATTAACAGCGTAACCGCAGGAGGTTTGGCAGCTTTACAGCCAGTCCAGTTTTCTCAGCAACTGCACAGTCCTCACCAACAGCCGCTTATGCAACAGCCCCAAAATCACATGTCACAGCAACCCTTCATGGCCACAGTGACCCAACTGCAGAATTCTCACAGTAAGTCACTGTCTTGGATTGGTGTGTGTGTGTGCGTGCGTGCGTGTTGTGCTGTGCGTATTTGAGTGTGCGCGCGTGTGTGTGTGCTCGTGTTTGTGTGTGTGCGTGTTTGTGTGTGCGTGTGTTTGTGTGTGCGCGTGCTTGTGCGCCTGTTTGGGCGCCTGTTTGGGCGCTGGTTGCTGGTCTGCCTCCCTCCCACCCCACCCCTGCCCTAAGTGGCCATGGCTCCATGTGTGAGCTTTGGCTCAACTATAGAGAACATCACAGCCGAGTCTGACCTCTCCCACACCCGGCTGCTATACATAGCAGCAAGCAGTGGAGGGTGCGGTGGAGGGCCTAGGAGCAGGGAGCCTGGCTGGTTTTCTCCTCCTTATCCTAGGAAACCTCAGAGCCAATCTGACTCCCAATTGATCCATGCAAGCGCAGCGCAGACCAGGGTCTGAACCAGTGGGTTCCTGATTCATAAGCTGCAGTTCTGTCCACCGCTAATACGGCCCGTGGATCAATCTGGTCAAATCATTGTCAGTTCTCAAACTAAGGCTGAAGTGACTGCCCATCGAAGGACTAAAAACCCTAATGCTTTACCTCTTGTTTTTCTTCCCTCCCTCCCCTCCTCCCCCCACCCCCACCTGCAGTGTACACGCACAAGCCAGACCCTCCCCAGTATTCTCACACCGCACGGTTTCCATCAGCCATGGTTGTCACGGATACGGGCAGCATCAGCGCGCTCGCAAGCATGTCCTCCAGCAAGCAGGTAAGTGCGCGGAGAATATTCTGGAAGCAGATGGGACTGTGGTATTCACAAGCGTGCTTTGCTACCAGGAGCCATTAACCCAGGTCCCCGGAACTCTATCCCCCAGTCCCTTCACCTCACGCCCTCTCTTGCCTCGCTCAAGTCCCATCAAGATACCTTCCTCTTGGACCGTGCCTTGCTGCTCCCCTCCTCACCCCAACTTCCCGCTCTGGTCCAAAAACCCCTGACTGTCCAGCGCCCTGGGACGTCTTTCCGTCGTAAAAAGGTGCTATACAAGGGTAATTTGCTGTTGTTGTTGTCCTGGGTAGGCTCGGGCTGCTGTTGGGGTGCAAAGGCCAAGGCTTGAGTTGTGGCTAAACCACACGCACCATTGGCCAATTGTTTCAAGTCAAATTATTGAACAAAGACTTAGAGACGTCTCATTATAATGAGATTTGTAGTGGAGCCCACATTGTCTTACAGAATCCACCCCCCCACCAACTCAAATCCATCGTCAAAGTACATCAGCACTTCTACGATGTGATAAAGCGCCATATCAAATGCAATTATTAATATTCAACTATTAATCGAGAATTAATTGAGGAGCAAAGTCAGCTTTGATCAACTTCTCGTTGATACTCATTTTTAGTTGGGGGGAGCCTAACATTGTAGGGTTACAGAGCCATAAAGTCACGGTATTATTAAAAATGTATCAGTGGGTACATTTATAATTATTTATAGGAGAAATTGTTAAACCTAGAAGAATTAAAGGGGTATAATTTGAAGTTATTTCCAAAAGAATTCCTCGTGCTAAGTGTCAGGAAATAACGCAAATAGCAAATTGCAGTTCGATTGGGTTAAAACACAGCGATTATCATTAAAATGTAAAAATACCATTAAGAATGCCGCTACCCCAAGTCACAGTGCTTAAGATTTTGTGGTGGGACTTTATTAGCATAGGTGAGATGGGGAAGGGTGTTGTTAGGAAGACAAGTGGCCTTGGGAAGAGAAGCAGCTCAGGGTGATATAGCAGAGGCTAGGGGGGGAAGGGTTATCGGAAGTGATATTGTGGGGAGGGTGGGGGAGTGTAATTGGACCTGAGCATTGACTCGTGGCGTCCTGTAGCTCAGTGGTTAGAGCACCTGTCTTGCAAGCGAGAGGACCTGGGTCTAATTCCCAGGCGGGGCGAAACTTTGGGCAAGTTTCCTTACTCCGCACGCCTCTGTTTACCGAGCAGTAGGTAGGAACTCGGTTGTTAGTCGATTGGCGGATCGTTTTTCCCGGGGCGAGTAAACACTTCAAACAAATAAATGAATAAAAACAGTAATAATTTGGTCAAGCGATCCACGGCTGGCTGTGCGCAATTGAGTGAATCCCACCTGTTTGTTGCGACATTGTGCTGTGTTCGTGGAGTTGCCAGATATTGCCCAATCTATACACTAGGCGGTGCTATTCTTAGAGACCACACCTTAATCTATAGCGACGACAGTAGATGCTCAGTGTAGCAATTTTGCTGGCTATAGAGTGTGGTATATCAGAGCCCTGGGGTGGGCAAGCTACAACTTACCATGATTCAGGAGAGCTCGGCATTTCCCCATCGGCGGTCGGGCCTTCAGCCTCTCTGCCCGAACTCTTTGAAACTCCATCCCAAAGTCCCTTTGCCTCGCTTCCTCCCTCAGCTCCTTCAAGGAACTTCTCAAGACCCTCCTCTTCGACCGTGCTTTCAGTCACCATCCTACCCCTACCCTCCCCGCCCTCCACCCCTCCTGATCCCAACCACCAGCTCGGGCCCAAATTCCTGATTGCCCAGCGCTTTGCGACGTCCTCCCGACGTGAAAGGCGCTATACAAATGGAATTTGTTGTTGTTGTTGTTATTGAGATAGCTGCAGCTTAGGATGATACAATAATAATTAGTAACAAAGTCATTAAAACTGGTACAGATTGAGAACAGGACGCTGGGACTAGTTTGAAAATCATCTGGGTGCTGTGATGGGAGGACGGGTTAGGGCGGCTATTCTGGAGGGATGAGATCAGAATGGGCCGAAAGGGCCTTCTTCATCGAACTCGTTCCCTTTTTACTGCCGTTAAATTCGAGGCGAGTGAAGGTTTTGTGCACATCAAATAGCAATTGAGTCTTAAAGAGTTCCTCACGGTTCTGATACACAAATCTGAATCAGTTGGGCAGCCAGGCAGAGCACTCCTCCTAGCGAAGAGATTTCCTTTGAAAACCTCTATCAATCAATACGCTGGCCATTCAGCCTTAAACTAACTTGATTAATTGCGGCTTCATACTCCAATGGGCTTAGCCCAAAGTTGCTTGTTGGAACAAGCCTGGTCAGCGCAGGAAATGTCCCCTTATCAAAATATTAAATGACGCTACCCATTAGGTTTAACATGTATCCCTGTAATTGCTCCTTGTTTCATCAGGAACCATGATCAGTCTTCCTTGAAGCATCGCTAGCTGGAACTAATGTGAATCCTTTGTACATCAAATGGAGTTTTGCTGAACAATTGCATTGACTTCACGGCACTTATCTCTTTACTTATAATCGGGTCTGTTGTAATTGGATTTTTTTTAAAAAAACAACAGGAACAGATGTCAAACGGAAGCATAGTTAACGTGGGCAATCCTGAAAAAAGGCTTGACAGCTCTACTTTCTACAAAAGGCTGTTCCTTGCAATGTTTTTCACGCTGAAATTAGAACGAGTTAGATGATGATGATGATGATAAAATTAAGCTATGCATTTGACACAGTGCCATTCACGTCTGGAAGACGTCTCAAAGAACTTATAATGATAATACATGCATTTGATAGAGCGCCTTATCTCATCGTTGAGACGTCACAAAGCGCTTCGCAGAATACACTGTAAAGTGGATTGACTGTGTAACTTGTGGGCGAAACGCGGCAGCCAATTGCGCACAGCAGCGTCCCATAAACAGTCGTGGAATGAATGACCAAATTTGTTTTTGGGGGCGGGGGGATTTTTATCTCCGGAAAGTGATCCGCCAATCGACTAACAACCATGTTCCTACTTGCTGCTAGGTAAACAGAGGCGTGTGGAGTAAGGAAACTTGCCTAGGGTTTCGCCCCACCTGGGAATCGAACCCAGGTCCTTTTGCTTGCGAGGCAAGTGTGCTAACCAGTATGTTAAGGGACTCCACAGGATGTACCGTAAAGTGCAGTGACCATGTGTATTTTGCAGGGCGCTGTATTACCAAATGGGACAAATTCGGCTGTGTGCGAGTGACAGACAGAGCTGCTGATTCACTTAGTGCTTAGCGTAGAGGCCACGAGTGCTGCCGGTTTATCATGTCAATTGTGCTCACCTGGCCAATTCCTGAGTCACAGGAGTCTGATTTTAAATGACCTCTCCTGGCGTCCTCTTATCTTCGGGTTATCATTTTTATAGCTCAAGTGAATTAGCAACATCGCAAAAAGCTAGCTTTGTCGCAACTCACCCGATGAAAGGGGATCGACCAGCCCCTATCTTTATTGTTCCTTCGTACAGGAAGCCTTATTGTAGCTGTAGAGCAGCCTGAAGATATATATTCATAAAAGGAACAATCCTTGTCAAGTGGCTTAAATATGTCCTTTTGAAACACTACCATAACACCAGATCAGAACAAATTGTACGCTGTGTTATTTCATTACTTTTTTTTTATTGGGGTGGGGTAACGGGTTGGTGGGGTGGGTGGGAGGGGGGGGGTTGAAAAAGAATCTGACCTTCTCACCTTTAGTTTGGTTCATATTCTTCCCAGCCAGTGACTCGCACTGTCTCCCAGACACAGCGCACCCCATGATCAGTCATGATCTAATAGAATGGCGGAACAGGCTCAAGGGATTGAATGGCCTATTCCTGTTTCTATGATTCTATTACCCCCTCAACCCCCAGCACTGCCTTCCAGGGATTATGCGAGTTCAAAAGCCCCAAATGCAGTGCTGGAGGTGCCATCCTTCAGATGAGACGTTAAAACGGAGGCCTTCTGTCTGCCTGTTCAGGCGGACGTTAAAGATCCCATGGCACTACCCGAAAGGAGAAGGGACTTTCTCCCAGTGTCCCAGCGCACAACAAACCCCAACCCCAAAATAAAATTTGCTACTTCGTTCACCCGCACAATCTTTCACGTTCTTTCGCAATGACAATCCTGTCGAGGCACTTTGAGACATCCTCTCGATGCGAAAGCTGCTATATTGGAAGCGCTATATTAGAACACATAAGAACTTGCCAGGCAAAAGAAGCCTAAGGTCCATCCAGTTTGCCTTCCACTATCTTGACAGTCGCTTGACATGTCATAGTAAAGGCGCCATATGCAATGCAAAGATTATTGTTTTACGATTATTCAAGTTGAATCGAATCGACTGATTTTTCAACTCTTTCCCCTTTCTTCTTCTTCTTCTTCTTCTTCTTCTTCTTCTTCTTCTTCTTCTTCTTCTTCTTCTTCTTCTTCTTCTTCTTCTTCTTCTTCTTCTTCTTCTTCTTCTTCTTCTTCTTCTTCTTCTTCTTCTTCACAGTGTCCACTCCAAGCCTGGTGATGTTCCACACTTCCCTATCTTCGAATGGCTTGACGGCACAGTTAAAAGTTGGTTTCCAAAACATCTTTCCGGTATCGACGGAGACGACGGGGGTTTCCGTGGAAAACTCACAGAACCAAACCAGCCAGTACACTGATCGAGCCAATGACGCTGCGTAAGGCTGGTCTCTTTCGACAGCTAGTTCCTTAGCTCACCGTCGAAGAGTGAGGTGCGGAGGAGAAAAATAAAAGCCCCGGTCCAGGTTGTTTTACCTACAGTTTCCTGTTGGACTGTATTCCCCCATTAGCCCAAACCCAGCTTGAACATCTCACGCAAGAACAAATGTAACCAAGAAACTCGAGAGGCATTGCATAAAGAGAAGCCGCCCCCTCCTGTCCTTCGGGTGTTGAAGGCGATGCTTTGTGTCTGTTACTGGAAGATTAGCACTAGATCATCGCTTGTATAGTTAAATCGAGCCCAAACTGCGAATACTGACCGACCAGGGACAAGATTACACTAAGCAAACCCGATTCTACAGGAGGACGAACACCTTTGCAAAACGGACCTGAAGTGTTGTGATTGAGTGCAATCCCTGAAGTGTCAGACATCTCCGAGGAACACTGGCGAAGAGACTCACCCACTGAACAAATCCAGTTCATTATGGAAGTACGAGGGGAGGTGGGGGTGGGGGTGGGGATGGGGATGGGGGGGTGGGTGGTTGTCGGGAGGGGGTAAGTGATCGGATTCCCTCAAACACGTCCATTTCAAAATACATTTTTTGTTGAGATCAAATGCAGGTGCAAGGAGTGTGTGTACGTGTGTGTGCGTGTGTGCGGGCATGTGTGTGTGTGTGTGCGGGGAGCCTGGGTGAAAAGCCTCTGTGGATTGGATAATTGTGGGAATTGTTGAACAGAACGAGGGGAAAGATTTCGATGTGAGGCAACGGGACATTTTTAACAAAACATAAAGTCAAGTGTAAAAGTAAAGTGCTGCGGAGAATAAACAAACCCCCGGCGTACTGAAACGATTGGATAGCTGGAAGAGAACGATGTGTTAACGATCGGGGTATGAGAGAGAGAGAGAGAGAGAGATGGAGAGGGAGTGACCCCACCGTGTCTTTTCTTCTGAATGAGGTGCAGTTCATTTCGAGCATTTGCTGTGCGTTTCAAATCTGATCAGTGTTGAGGGGCCCTTTTATTTTCCAACAACAAAAAAATGGCCCATTTGCAGAAAGTACCAGGCAATGGGACAGACAGACAGACAGACAGACAGACAGACAGACAGGAGTCAAAACAAATCAACAGAAGAGGTCTCGTGATCTGCAACCTCTGATAGTTCAATTTACACTTGAGCCAACATTTACCAAGGGGCCTGGGCAGGATTGCTTCAGGTATAGGCTCGACAATCATAGTTTGCCTCAAACCAGGCCTTGTCTACTCCGTACATCCCTGGAATCATTCCTTTGTCTGTGTTTTTTTAAAGTTATTTCATAACTGGTAAATTCGTAATTCTTGTTTAGAATGCAATGAGTCCTTTTGGTTGGAATTCCCTGTATTCCCTCCCCCCCCCCCACTCCAATTATAAGTCAACTCTTTTCCTTCTCCAACTTCATAGCAGAAGGAGACTCTTTGATTTCATTTACGTGACAATTTCAGCCGCGCTGTGACCCTGAGAGGCAGGAGCCTGATTTGGAGAGGGAGCTTTCGTTTTTTTGGTCAGGAGCCAAGTTGCAGCAACCGTATAGCTGGATGCTCGCTCATCTCTGGCGAACTCTTGAGATACTCTTCACTGGGATTTGGGAAAACAATCAACTGTCTTAATAACAATCCTTGCATTTGATATAGCACCTAATCACGTCTTCGAGACGTCTCAAAGCGCTTCACGGAATCTACTGCAAAGTGAATTGACTGGATATTTTGCGGGCTCAGAATCATACTGGGTATTGGGAGCAGGAGGTGACTTTTCCCATTGAGTCTGTGCTGGTGCTTAGTCCTCCCAGCGCTGAGTGTGTATCAATCCAAATAATAAAATTGTTCACTCAATCCACGGCTGTTTGTGGGGACGCTGCTGTGCGCGATTAGCTGCCGTGTTTGGCCCACAAAATAGACAGTCAATTCACTTTACAGTATATTCTGTGGAGCGTATGAGACATCTCGAAGACGTGATAAGGCGCTGTACGAAATGCAAGGATTATTATAATCCACATTAATAATAGATGAGCCGATAAACAAAGGTAACACTGAATATAGGTCATAAAGAGGCTGAGGGCAAGAAATTCCACCTGGGTTTATTTTTTTTCGCGTTTCAGAGTGTCCAGTAGTTTGGCAAGTCTCGAAGCCGTAGTCGTGAAGCCTGTTTTTCTCGGTTCTTTTTAGCGCCTTGAGACGCAGCCCCCTCGTGAAGGGCGCTACATAAATGCAAGTTGTTACTGTCTTAAGAAACTACATCAAACCGGCTTCAAACCCGGAAGACATTCCACTCCGTCTTTGTTGCTCTCACGTACCTGTTACGTGTTACCATTTGGTCTTCAGAGACGAGCATTTTGTTTTACCCGCTCCAGTTGACACCACTGTATTTGCTGCCATGGTTTACACTTGTCGTTCCAGCATTAGACTCGATGGAATGAAATGCCCTTGTTACTTTGCCCTGATACCCGCTGTTCCACTTGGTACCCTCTCTCTGGCTCAGAGCAGCGCACATTTACCCCAACTTTATTCCAACGACCTTCAGGCTTTCGTTTACACCATCAACTGATCTCAGCTTCGCCGTCCGAACATGAATTTACTCCTTTATGAATGAATGTGAAAAGTATGTGCGTGTGTGTGTGTGCGTGTGTGCGCGAATGAGCGTACGTGTGCATGCGTGCGGGTGTGTAACCAAAAACTTTTTTAAAAAAACTTTAAAAGAAGCACATTGCTGCGATTCTTGAATTTGTAGGTCCTGTTGCTCTGAAACACCCAAAACAACAGACAAAAATAATGAATTTTTTTATATAAAAAAATTGAGGAAATACAGTAGGTTTACACAAACAAATCGTAAGTAGTCCTAAATATTATTATTGTGCATTATTTGTTGTGATAGTGTATTTATGCAGTACAAATTCCTTTATCTGGCTGTCTCACTTTATCTCTTATCTGACATTCACTGCATTTAACAAACAGTGTTATTTAAACATTCCAGAACATTAGTTGAAGTGTGTAATTATCGAGAAGCTGATTTATAACTTACAATTGGTGTACTTTTTTTTAAAAAAAGCCTTGTAACTTTTCTAATGTCCAAATATACAGCAGTATTAATTTACATTTTTGCTGAATAAATTCTCCGTCAACGTTGACAATTTCTCTGACTTTCCTCACCACCACCCCCACCCCACCCCACTCCACCCCTTCCCCCCCCCCCCCTCTTCCTCCAAATTTTTAAAATAATTTTGTATCATGTATGAAAAATGTATGAAAATTACCCCTCACCAAAGTGTAACTGTTGTTCCACCTGATTTCTCTATGGTTAGAAACTTGCCATTGTATGTACATTGCAGGCAACAGGTCACAGAGACGCAGCAGTGCAAACCGCTGAAAGTCTTTGGAATATTCTTGTCTGGTTTGACAATTTCTCTACTGCCGAGGACACACGGACGGAGCGAGTCTTGACTTTTTATCTAGAGAAAATGTGCCGCTAGAATTGATTTGTTTTTGATGTATTATTTTTGTAAAAATGCAAATCAGTCTTTAAAATCATATTTATACTTACATGTAAAGTGAGAACTCTGGAAAGTAAAAACCGTCTTAACGAAAGCAGGAGATTTGCGGAGCTTTTTTTTTTCCCCTTGGGTGATGTCGATAGCTATGATGTATGATAATAACATTATTATATATTATACATTAGCTAGGGACAGAACAAAACCATTTAGCTCATCTCATTTGCTCCACCATTTCATTCAATCGTCACCAATCTGTTTCCCTCTATTTCCTTCCATCTCTCTCAATACAACAATAAATTGCGTTGATACAGCGCCTTTCACGTCAGGGGGACGTGTCAGTGCACCGCGGTACAGGATTGTGCCGTGAAATGTAGTGACTGTGTGTTTTGTGCGAGAAAGTTCTGCAGGATCTTCGGTGCTGAGGCCACGGGCTTATGCCTAAGGCCAGGTGAATTGTTGAGTAGATGCTTTGTGCAACTACATTTCCATCAGCTGTGGGACACCAAAGCTATTTCTGACGATCTAATTAATCAGCTCCATCGCCTCTCTGGGAGGTCTTTGAGGAAAGCTGGGAGACCAGAGAGGAGGGTTTTTGCCTGGTTTCTCTGTGTGCTCAGGTGGACCTCAGGCCTGTAGCACCAAAGGGAGGCTATAAAATTCCATGAGAGGGAGAGTGTGGGGGTCAAACAACAGTTGACTTCCTTACTCCCGATCACTCTCCCACCGGTTCCTAGTTAGCACAGGTTTGGCAATATAATCTCCCTCGTGGTCTCGTCCTTCCCTACCTCGACAATCTCCTGCCCCTTTACCCTGTTTCCATTGACTCCTTCTCCACTCGTAAATCGTAAAGGGCTCCCACTTGTCACGTTCGACGTAACGTAAAAGGTTTTTAACGAGCAAGTTGCGATTTTCTGACGCAAGTTGCGATGGGCGCTGGGCTGGACAACGCACAGCGTTGCATCGATGGAACCACACCCTCCCATTTGTTATTTGATTATTCCCTCCTCTTCTCCCCACCACCCTACATTTTGCTGAGCGCCTACCAAAAACAGTTGCTGTATTTGACAATGAATCGCTGTAAAGCACTTTGATGTGTAAGTTGCTATATAAAAACTTCTCTCTGACTGGAAGGCTCGGGTCTTTGATAGGTGCCCGAGGCCTACGTAGAGGCAACTCTTGGTCAGAATCTACACTAGGAGACTGCGAGGAAATATAATAATAATAATAATAATCCTTGCATTTGATATAGCGCTTTTCACGTCTTCTAGACATCTCAAAGCGCTTCACAGAATATGCTGTAAAGTGAATTGACTGTATATTTGTGAGCGAATTAGGTAAGCAGAGTGCGCCCTTCCTGGGAGACGGCGCAGCTCATTTCTAGACGCAGGGAAATCTCTGTGTGGGTGGGACCCTCAGTCTGGTTTGGGCACTCTTAAGCACGACAACAACTTGCACTTATACAGCCCCCGTCGTGTAGGATAATGACTCGGAGCACTTTGCAAAGTCGGGGTCAGAGGCCGAGAAGGGGGAGGGCCGGTTGGAGAGGTAGGGTTTCACCCACAAAATACACAGTCACTCCACTTCACAATATGTGGTGCGAAGCGCTTTGAGACGTCTCAACGACGTGATAAGGCGCTATATCAAATGCAAGGATTATTGTTCTTAGGTTTTACGTGGACTTAAAGACAGATGTGGGGGTGGGGGAGAAGAGGAGAGACACCCATTTTGAGTATCGTTCTGCAAACCGTTCCGTAAAATATACTTTACATCAAAGATGAGGGAGGGTCGGAGGAAACTTGTTTAATCCGAGCAGCCTTTCCCGAGCCAACGCCTTTTACCTCTTGTTCCCCTTCCAATCTCGAGGGTCCCTCAAGCGGGGACCAGGTGGGGAACCCGGAGGCGTCAGACGCCTTTTGCTCTGTGCGTCGCGGTGAGAAACGAACAAACACACACACACAAAAAAAAAAGAAAAGTTGCCTTGACTTCACGTCTGG